CATATATCTGGTGACGTTGTTGACTCCGACGACATTTTCGGCATCTTCTCCGGCAAAATTTCCGGTATTTTCTCCGGCAACACGTCTTCTCCGTCTACTTCAACACCACTTCCGATGACAAATTCGACATCATCTATGTTGTCTTCTATCCTGGCAAGACAACTGAATCTACTTTTAAAAATACTATATTTGCAACCGGAATCGCTAAATTCGTTACCGACAACACAAAAACCTCCACCTGAACCACCACCGAAACTATCAGATTTTTATTTTTAATATTTTAATTGAAAAAAAAAAGAAAGAAGAAAAGAGAAAAAAAAGAAAGAAGAAAAGAAGAAAAAAGAAAGAAGAAGAAAGAAAAGAAAATGGAAAGAGAGACGGAGAGAAAAAAGTGGAAGTGGAAAAGAAAAATATGGGTGGATAGAAAGAGTTATGAAAAGAAAGAGAAAAAAAGACGTGAGAGAAAAATAGGAAAAGAGAAAAAAATAGTTTGGTATGTTTCTTGGGATCAATATCCGGAAAGATAGAAAACATTTGAGATTATGCTTATTTTAAGAGACATATCTGAAGAAGATTTTTGACATGTTTGGTATGTTTAATTTAAAGCATGTTCCAACACCAACTAATCATCAATACAACCTGAGTACGACTCAAAGATCTTGAACTGAATTCGAAAGAGCTTATATGAATAGTATTCCATATGCTAGCATAATAGGTTCTTTGATGTATGTCATGGTTTGTACGACAGCCAATCTTAGAAAGACACATTGGCAAGCATTAAAGTGGATTATAAGGTACATAAATCGGTCACTGAGCAAAGTCTTGATTTATGGTGGAGGTTGTGGTGATGATAGCAAAGTCAAAATCGAAGAATTTGTTAACTCTAATTAGGCGGGTTGTATGGATTCCATAAAATCTATTTCTGAATATGTATTCACTATGTTTGACACAACAATCCGTTGAAAAACAACACTTTAGAAGGTTGTTACCTTATCAGCCACTGAAGCGGAATATATTACCCTCACTGAAGCTGTAAAAGAAGCATTGTAGCTTAAAGGTTTTGCTAAGCAGCTAAAACTTCAAGGTGAGTTATCATTGTTAAATGTGATAGTCAAAGTGCAATACACCTGTCGAAGAATTCGGCCTATCATGAGCATAACAAACACATCGATGATAATCAAGCATGGAGAAGTTCAAGTGTTGAAGGTTTTGACTGATGACAATAATGCTAATATGATCACCAAGATATTGCCAAGTAATAAGTTTTTCCACTGTATGCAGTTGATAAAGTTGCATGATGAAAGCTAGTTTGTTCCCTTATTAGTGTAGAGTTTGTTCCAAGGTGGAGATTTGTGGCAGTTTAGATCGAACTCTAGTCTCAACAAGGATAGCTTCATGGTTCGACAAAGGTTTAACATGTAGTAGATTTTTTTCACATATTGATCTTGTATGTTGTAGTCGAAGTATGCTCAAGTATGTAGTAGTCGAAATGCTAGGATTGTTAGCATGTCGATTAACCGTTGCTTGTAAGCCCAATTGTTAAGTTATCTTGTAGCCTTAGTAGTCTATAAATAGACTACTTCTCTTGGGTTGTTAAGAGAGAGGTTAATTTTTGTTAGTACATATAATCTTTGAGCCTTTATTGAGTAAGTGAATAGTAAAGCAGTTTTAACCAATCCTGGATTTATGATTCTTCTTCTTCCTTCTTCTCTCTATTTCATAAAACCTAATAGGCTTTCTTGTTTTTGTTCAAGAAACTTACTCTTTCTCATACTTTGGTTTGTTCTTGACACATTGATTCACACAAAAAAAGGATCAAAAATAGATTTCCATTTGTCTACATCTATAAAGCACAGACACAATACGAGTGTCATACCTCAATTTTGACCCTGGATCATTGAATCAGTACATTCATCATAGTTTTCACATCATTTTCATAGCATAACATGCATTTCATCTCGCATAATGTTTAAAATGTCAACCATGATAATTTTTCGAATCTATAGACATATACCGATCAAACTGATTCCTAATTGTGTGCAAAATTAGTGGACAAAAAAATTTCAAAATCGAGCTTGTAGACGTTAATTTTATTAATCTACAGTTCATGTAATTTAATTTGGCATGCTCTTTTTAATTTTTTTACTACTATTTCAATCGAATTTTGATCAGCCTGAACTTTTTAATCGATCAAATTTTATTTAAAAATCGGATCAAAACATCTATGTTTTCAAGAAGTTTATTTCGCACTGATCATTTTAGTGCCTTTAGCATGTTAAATTAGGCCTTGCTTGTAAGCCCAATTGTTTAAGTTAGCTTGTACCCTAAGTTAACTTGTAATGGGTAATTGTTAAAAAGCCCATTAGGTTAGTGTGCTATTTTTCTTATAAATAGGATGCTAGTTTCTCAATCTTGGCATAAGTAAAAATAGGAAGATAAAATCCTAATTTCAAGAGATAGAGGTTATTTTGTTATTCTTTTATACTTGTAATCTTGTTCTAAGAGAAAAGAAATAATAGTAGTTTATAACCAATCCTTGTTGTTCCTTGTTGTTTTACCTTGTTATCTTTGTTAACCCTAACCCTTGTGTATTTCTTGATCATAAAGAAAGCGTTTATATTTTGTTTCAAGACATCCGATTCACAACAGATCCATATATCCTCTCTCTATCCAGTGAAAAATGGATAAAACTTCAGAAACAAGGGTGAGACTTTGAAACACCATCCTACCACTCTCTCCCTACTTCTTTCCATCGCCAAGTGCAACCCACCGCGTTTTCTCTTGACCTTCACAATAACATGTAAATCTTTTTCTACATCATACCATCATCTTTCATAAATCTCCTTATAACACAAACCATGACCTACCATCCAATTTACAAAAACAATACATTTCCTCTTTCTGTCACTACTAATGTTACTCAACCTGCAACTCATTGCTCATGCTACCATACAAAACCAAACACAATATATCTTCTTGCCATGAACACAACTCCTTTCCACATTATTTGTTTTCTTAACTCTCATATTTTATATGCTACTTCATCTATCTCAATGATATTATTCATCTTCTTTTTCTCAACACATCCTGTTTCTCACACTTTAAACTACAACAACTAAAACTATGTGTCGTACCTCGAAAAATGAGAACACGACGCTCACAAAGCGTAATCACACACTCGCGGGATAGACTAAACAAAGTCGCCGCTGAACTTTATTTATTCCCAAAGAGGGAAATGAAAAATATCGATAAAACCTCTAAAAGAATGACAATGATTTTGGTCGTCACAACCAAATCAGAGTTCGGGAGTCGATTACGCAAGGGAAATGTATTAGCAACCTTCACGTTCGTTGTACTCAACGAGAACCATTTTAGTTAGTTGTGTATGTTAGTGTTAGTTTGAAAATGTTAGGCTTCTCGAGTTATTAAAAGGAAAAATGGTAGGGCAAAAAGGTTTATTTTTTATCAAGGGTGTCTGACGAGACTTTGAATCTCGCTCCTACGTATCTCCGGGTGCAATAGAGAACTCAAGGCTTACGTAGTTATGGGTAGAAAATGTTTCTTTGCTGGTCAATTTTAGTAAAAGCTATCTTGTATTAAACGACAGAAAATTTATCCAAAACAGGTGAGGAGCGAACGTTTGAATCACATTGAAGTGTTCAAGAGATTAAAGAAGAACATGGGCATGGAGGACACTGAGCACTTGAGTTAAGGTAGTGTGTTAAGAGAAAAAGGTAATTCACGTGCATGTAACTGGTTACACTTTTATGTAAACTGATATACCCCTTGTAAATTGACTAACAGAACTTACAGTGGCAAAGTTCAATCGATTGACATAATATGTCAACCGGTTACACCTAGAGAAATTAGTTTAAAATTGAAACAATGTGTTAGTGTAACTGGTTGACATAATATCTCAATCGGTTACACCTGGGAGTTTTTTATTTTATTTATTAATTAGTTGCATCTCATCATGTATTTTGTATATATAGCCTTTGGGTATCTTATGGATGAATATAATGCAAATTTTCATCCTCAATTATCACTCTCTCTAATTCTCACTCATCCCTCCTTCTCCACACTCTCTCTAACATTTTTTCCTTTACATATCAGTTTTATGAAGATGATTTAAATAAGGGTCATGCTAACCAGTGCCCTCAGGGCACTAGTTAAGAATTCCAATAAGGAAAATATGTTATATTTAGTTCACTCAATACACACAATATTCTTTAAAAAGTCTGATTATTTCTCTTTTCAGGGCATTGAATACACATATATTTAGAAAAAATATATATTTTCAATCTCTTAAATAATGCCCAACTTACTATTTTAATCTCTTAACCAATGCCCTGAAGGCACTACTGTTATAAAACCTCTCATATTGATTATAACACCTCTCATATTGATTAAAGTAACATAAGTGCTTGTATATGTTTGTTGCATGAAATATATGGTACCATGAAGCAACGTAGACTGGCATGCAGAAACCTAACCAAATATCATTATAGATTGCTGACAATAAAACATTAACTTTAAGGACTGTGATATTTATATCATGAAATATAAAGTCTAATAGATAAGTTTGATTGATTTTCAGTATTAGTAGCATTTCATTTTATTTTTCTCTTGATCCAAAATAGGAGATTCTGTTGTGAAATTAAAACAACATGCTTGTCATGTGTAGAAAAAAAGGTAAAACATTATAAACACAAAAGGAGATTTTGAGTTTAAACTCGGATAATCATAAAAAATATCGACTTCAAACTCTGATAATCACAGAAAATGTCAAATGTAACAATCTCAACATTGTCAGCTGATGATCAGATCAATATAAATTTGATTTGGTTTATGAACAATGCACACCTCTACTCTTAAAGATAGATCATTAGCAGACAATTGTTCTATAAGAGAAAAACTGTACATAACTTTCTAACTCTAATTTTTAAGTAATCTATAAATCTCCAAAGATATATATCAGCAAGCTAACTTGTGATTCCTATTTAATTCGCGCTTTTTTCCGGATGATCGCGCTTGACAATTGAACCGCTACCTCTTATCGTCGGTTGTAGTTCAATGGTTTCTATGATAGTTTGGTGTTGTTGTTCAATGGTTTCTATGATAGTTTGGTGGTCGTTTTCTTTTGCGTCTTGCTCAACCTGATCTACTCTTACTGCTAGCAAATTTGATCGCGGTGACGTGGGAGACAACTCAATATCAGAATGGTAATCATCTCGGTCATCATCATAGGCTGAAACGACGCGCGCTGAGTGACCGGTGGTTTTGTAACGGTGTAGCGTGGGGCTAATAGAGTGCACTGTTGAATCAGTGGTGCTTCCGTCCATGGTTCGCACACTCGACTTTCCATGTTTGTGTCCGTGCTTCTTTTTCACAGTATTGTGCCATTTTTTTAAGGCTTTCGATGTTTGTTCATCAAATATTGATTTCTTCATTCTTGATCCCATCTGCAAATGTTTCACAAACCTTGAAATCTTAATAACTTGCAAGTATAAATTCAATCAAAGAAAAAGAGTGACGCCGATGATCGATGATCAATAGAAACTCGTGAAAACGAAAGTGTGTACTACCTGAGTAACAAGAGCATATAATGGAAGAGTTATGTAACTGCAAAGGCATAGCGCGCCAATCCTTCAAAACGAACACGAGAGTTAATCGATTAAGTGATCGCTAGTAAAGCTTTAATCATACCGAGCTACTTTGACGAAAGAGAATTTCAGATCAAACTTACCCTAAGACTACTTTGACTATTGCAATACTTTGATCCGCATGGAAACAATTTTCCCGCCCAAAAGAGTACTGCAAATTAAGAAATCATCGGTAAGCGATTTATCATAATCTACATAAAGTACAAAAAGGCGATATTAACGGTGTAAGGATGGTTATGTACCCATATCCACAAGATATATGTTATTTGAAAGGCATTCTGCGAGAGAAAAGCATCGATTAGTTACAAAAGTTAACAATCAAGAATTGAAAAACACCCCGAAAATACTTTTCTCTCATTGGTACAACGATTGAACTAGAAAACCGTCCTACTTGTATAATAGCGTATCCATCAAAATATCGTAAATAATATTTATAAAAAAATGTGTACGAACTGGATTTAACGAATTGAATACCTGAAACAGGGAAAAATGTATAAGATGGAGAAGTAATTGAGGCCGACCAAACCAGAAATATTTGTCCGAGCCTTGAACAAGAGGAATCCCTTGGATAACTGCGTGTCTTTCTGTGATTTCAATAGCCATCTTTGTCAATGTAGCTTGAAGTTTTGTTCCAACCGCCAAAATTATCTGCAGCCGATTAAATGGTTTATATAGTATTAATTTGAATTTCAAACCATGGTTATCGAAATAAGATTCAAATTGTGAATCAGAAACAAGCTTTAAATGGAGAACATAATACTTACAACAACAGGAATCAAGGATGCCCAAACTATAGCATGCCATCCTGAAAAGTAAAATAGAGTTAACCGAATCAATATTCAAATGCAGAAGGGTAATATCGATAGGAATCGACAAAAGAAAAAGTTAACAAGTTGCGTACCATTAACATTTAGGAGAAGGAAAACAACAAATGATGCCCAAAGGACCGGACTGTCGACAACAACACAAAACACTTAGCAACCATGTACATCTACGTCACAAACAAACGATCGCCGAAAAGATAAAAAAGATAATGTTTCCAATGCGTGGTGTGAAGATGTTACCTGACTCCGACAACTACCTTGAAGTCATCCTCGAGGGATCTTTTGATATACTTTTGGAAGTTAAATTTACTTCCTGGTGATAGGTGAACCTACACACACAACGCACTGTTAAGAAACGAGTGTGAATCTGAACATTAAAAAGGTATCTTATGGAGTTAGGACTCACAGCGATAAATCCATTGCGCAGAGTCAAATAGTCAGCCTTATCAACGGATCTATAAAACTGTCTAAAGAAACAACTCTGAAATTGACAAAAGGGAAGATATAGTTACACGTTTCCTCGAAGCAGCGTGATAAAATGAAGCTATGAAACTTCATGCATTCTAATAATAATGATATTAAAAAATCAAAATAGTTTATTTGTTCTTCTACCATACTATACTTTCCATTTTTTATGAGCTATATCGAATATAGTACAATAACTAAAGTGTCGTCTTTCTTTTTCTTTAACAAGTTTTACATGCATTGATGATTCCAATTCCAATCTCAAGCTAATAGAAATTAAATATTTTTTTGCATATTAGTAAATTTGGTCTTACTATAATAAAGAAGATGGGATTTTTTGTCCAAAAAGTGGCATGTTGTCTAACAAATGATGTTTCGTGTGTAAGCCGGAATCTTGAAGGATCTGCGTGATGGGTACACAACAAGTCGTGAAATTGCATGCAGAAGCATTTGAAAATAGAATTATTTTGTAATCAAAAAAAGAAAAACAGTTAAATACATCGGAGAACGTCATAGTCATACCAGTAGCGAACTCATATCCATGAGACGATGTCTCCGCCTCCCATGCCTTCCATCCTCGTATCTACATAAAAGAAATCCTCAATCACCATATACGTTACTAACCTTGATTAAACTCATCTATGTGTTCTTATAAAAAAATTCTATGCGTTTTCAATAACCAATGCAATAAGAAAGACGTGCGGACCTTTAGTCTCCCGAGAAGCATTGTGACTGCACTATATAGAACATGAAGGACCGCTAAGAAGAATATGAGGATGTGTATCTGGTGCAATCCATTGGCAGATATAAGAGGCTCTTTACCCTATAACAAACAAACAAACAAAACGAACCTTTGATATTGCGATGAAAGAAATAAGATAAATTAAATTGACAAAAGAGAGAATAGAAGTTATAGAGGATTTGTATTCGAAACAAGACCGATAATAAGAATAGTAGTAACATTTATAATCGGTGAAAAATAAACAATTAAGATTTAAGTTATACGAAAAAATAAAGAAGGGAAACATAGTTACCTCCTTGCATTGGACAGGGGTAGCATCTTCCGACAAATATCTGTGTTCATAAAAGAGAAGCTTCCTATGATGTTCCGCTTCGTTACTTGCATGTTGGGTACTATCATATGAACATGGCAAGAATGTGTGTGAAACATTTGCCGGAATACATATTTTAACAATGAAGGTTTGCCCAAAAGTCAAAAGCAATGAAATGAAGCCTAAAATCATCAATTCTGCAACAACAGCAAAAACAAAAATCAAAACAAATTGTAACATTGATTAGAGAAACATAAGAAAAATCATTAAAAGTATAATAATCATTATTTTTTCACCTAAATCCGAAGAGAAAAACAATACAAATAAAAGAAAATTAACTCAAGATGAGTCAAAATACTTTCAAATTGCTTTGAATTATGAAGGACCGACACAGACACCAGACATAACACTCACACATCGGCAGAAAATATCAAAACAAATTTAACTATTATAACTATTATAATCACTATCACTATTGTTCCACATAAATCTGAAAGAAAATCAATTACTCAAGAAAAATTAACTCAACATGAGTCAAGATACTTTCAACTTGAATCATGGAGTACATAAACACACAAACCCCAGATACGACACTCACACGTCAACAACGAATCTAACTAACCAACACTAAGTATTGCACTTCATAAAACATAAATTCATAACTATATTAATCCGTTGACTAAAATTTTACCTGCTTTGACCTTTTCCAAAGCTTCAAGCAAAGCCCTTTTCTGTCTTTCTCCCAGCCACTGAGAAAATCCAAAAGACACATGAGTCATTAATAAACTCAATAACCAAAACAATCCTTCAATTTAAATTTTAAAAAAAAAAGAAGCTATAATTTCACTAATTATATCACAAATTTCAACAAAACAAGAAAAAAATTGAATTTTTATCATAGAATCAACAAAATGAAAGACAAACCAATGCACATTACAGAAAAATACAATTTTTATTGAAACAAATTAAATCTGAAAAGGGATTATGAAACTCAAAATCAGAGAAACACATTGAAAAAAAGGGTTGAAATTGTACAATACCATTCCAATTTTGTGAAGACTCTTCTCAAGAACAAACGAAATCAAGATGAAAATAGTGCAAACACAAGCAACAGCCCATGTGGGTGTCTGATCAAGGTTTTTCGAACCGCTACTGCTCTCAGTTGAAGCCATAACCACACCTCCATTGTAGTACAACAATGAAAAAGAAACCAAACACAGAAACACAAACATAGGTGAAACAAAAAAAAAACGAATTTCACAAAATGAAAGCAAAATGCTGATCTAGGTTTATTGGTATCTTCAACGCGTGTGAATTTGGTAGAGAGAAGAAAATGTTGATATGTTTCAGTAGTGGAAGAGTTTGTATATGAAATGGTTTCAAAACGCTGAATTGGATTAAAAGACAATTTTGAAATAAAATGTAAAATATACATAAATGTCTTGTTCTTGTCTTTTTTTGTCTTATGTAGTAGGAATGTGAATAATTAATTAATTAAACAAAAAAGGTATTTTAAATTTTTATTAATTGAAAAAACAGCTAATTAATTACTAACAATTATTCTGACATAAAGCGTGTGGGGAAATCAGGCTTGTAATCTGGCAACAATCAAGGGAAGGAAATATTGCAAATGCTTTGGTCAAAAAATCAAATAAAGAGATTGTGACTTTAAAGATTAAAGAGACTAAATAGTGGTTCAATCAAATCATTCAAAAGTGAGGGTGAGCATGAAGATATAGAAGGGGACAGCATTTTATATTAAAAAATTTAATTGTATATATAAAAATTTTATTTTAAAAATCCATTTTATTTTTTGAATTAAAGTTTTAGTTTTTTAAAATAAATTTATAGATATAAAAATATTTCTAATATAAGATAAAGACCAATCATATACTTTAATTACTATTTATTAATTAAAATAAATTTATATTCAAAATAAATATTAATAATGTTGAAATGGTGAGGATTGCGGAAACTACGGTGGAGCAGAGCTTCCGAAGCACTACGATGATGTGACATTGTGGATCAATGGTTGTGATCAGGATGTTTCTTGAACCAGAGGTATCGGTCTTAGTGTGATGTTGTTATTATGTGTGTTTGTTATCTCTGATACGAAGGACCTAAGAGGTACCTATATTTTTAGTACTCCAACGCCCAAGTTAGTTTAGGGTTCAAGATAGTGGTAGTGAAAGTGGAGATTAAGGAGTGTGTGCCTGAAAATTATGAAGGTAACTATACCTTGGGCCTGATGGGACAGGTTGGATAATGGGTCTTGTGTTATTGGACCTTTGGTTGGTGTGATATGTCTCGGATCTTTGGCCGACACAGAACAGTTGCCCCCAAGACTCATCGATCATGTTTGGTGTCACGGGAGTCTTCTATTAGTCATGGTTGGCCTCTGAGTATGTTTTCCCAGGTGTCGGCTGACATGCGCCGCTTTGGTTTTGCCAAAGCGTGATAGGGATTTGAGCATTAAATGCAAACCCATTATTGAAAAGGTTTCGCCATTTTTCTTTGATGTGTGACCTGAAAAGGTATGGATTGATGTGACACAGCTTCCCTTGTACTCAAGTGCACTTGAGTACGGTTGTCTTCCCTAGACGAATTCGAACTGTTGAGTTATCATTGTTCCTTGCTTTCAATCTGGTTTGTTTGCTTTCCTTTCTCTATATAAAGATGGAAAAAGATCATGGAGAAATTTTTTAGCCATTATGTAGATTGAGTTTTCCTTTTCTTTTTTAGTCTTCCTCTCTTATCTAAGAGCACTTCTCTTCTAGAGTAGCTATCATTGCACGTTCATAATTCCAACGCACTAAACTTCTACTTTTCAGCCCTCTTCCTTGCTTCAGCTCTTTCATTCTCAAATTTCAAGGTACATTCTTTTCACCTCAGCTTTTACTCAAGTATCTATTGCATTTTTATTACGATGAATGGTAACCCTATTATCGTCGATAGTGACTCAAAAGGTGGAGTTTCTTCATCTTCAAAAATGGGAATGAAGTCTAAATCGTATTCATTCCCCTCTGTCAGTGGGGTTTCGAATCAGAAGTCATCTTTTTGAGTGATGATTTTAATATGGAAGGATTATCTGGAGAATCTCTTTCAAGCGAAGTTCTTTCTAGGGATCCTATAGAGATCTATTTCTAGAGAGGTATGACGGATGTGAAAACCTTATCGAAGGACATATCCCTCCTCTTGTCTTGACCGAGGCAAAAATAGAGACAACTTGTCAAAGGAGGGAAGTAATTGGTCACGAACCTAGTGATGATGAAATCACTCGCCATATGAAGTGCCAAGGGCGGCCTGATGTTGTGTCTTGGGTGAATTCCGACGACCATCATAAAGTTGATGTATTGGCTCATAAGGGTCTTTGATTAATAGAGTCGATCAATTCTAACAAATACCATTGGGTGGCCACTAAAATTATTGGGACTCCCTTTGTCGTAAACATTGTCGACGTTGTGACCGAAGTCAACATCACGGTTGGCAATCCCTCAGATCAGGAGATTTTATCAGTATGTTCGGGTGAGAGGATGTGCAGCTCTTTCAAGGGTTGTTAGGTTCCTTTGTATGAGCGTTGTCATATCCCAAATTTTACCCTTAGATTCTTTGATCTTTTTCATAAGCATTCTTGGTCAATCATTCTCGCATAACTAATCCAATTATCAAATTTTGCTTTGTTTTGTCTCACTTGTGAATCAGGGTTTGCTTCAAGAGATTTCAAGGGTTAGTAAATCAGGGTTTTTGATAGGTTATCCACCATTTAAGCTCTTGAGACGTGGAAGCAGATGTTTTATGTTGAGTTGGATTTCCATTATTCAAAAGTTGTTTCTTTCTGTTATTGTACTCAAGTCGGAGGCAGAGGTGTTGGGTTTTTAATTGTCATGAGTAGTTCTTGTTAAAGGTTTATCAGGGCACGACATCAGTTTTTCTGAATGGCCACAAGGGTGTCGTATGTTTAAGGTTCATTAGTGGCTTGACTGAAAAAAATTTGAATCAGCATTTTGGAAGATTAGGGTTTCTCACCCCTTTGTGCTTAAGATGGGTAGGTGTTGTTCAATTGGGTTTCAATAGAGGCCAACATGATTAAGTGTATATGTGGAGTAGTATGATCTTGGTCAAGATATAGGATTTTGTTTCTTTCTCAAGTTGAGTTTGGTGTAGATCAATGCTTTACACCTAAGGATCATCAGACTAGGGTTTCCGTGTCAATTCAAGTTGTTTGTTAAAGTCAAAGTACAGAGCCATGAGTACATTTCAGTTTGTGCGCAAGTGTTATTTGTTTGGTCCAGGATTCTTTGTGGTCAAGTGTATTTGTTGAGGATCTAAGTGTCGTCCAAGTTTGGTGGTGCGTGAAAAACTCCATATTCATTTATCTTAATCTATTTCTAAACCATTTTCATTTTTAATATCCATATTACTATTTAATATCCACTTTCCATTATTCAATTATCTTCAATTCAGTTGTTCATTCTTATCCAAGAACCTATTTTAAACCTTTTTCTCTTTTTATCTTTTAAAACCTTTCCAAAATTCTTTTTATCTTTTAAAAACCATTCAAAAATTCTACAAGTCACCAAAAAGAGAGGCTCATTTACGATTTCCATTTCTAAGCCCATTATTCCTATTTTGTAACACTTGATTACAACAAAAAAAAATACAACAAAAATAAGGAAAAGTGCAACCAAGACCAACTCTAATCTACACTCCAAATTTGCCAAGTCAAAGTCAAATTTGTTGCCACCACTACCCCACAAACCCGTACAAATATGCCCATCCAAAACATTGCAATAACCAAAACCCGTTCTATATATATATATATATATATATATATATATATATATATATATATATATATATATATATATATATATATATATATATATATATATATATATATATATATATATATATATATATATATATATATATATATATATATATATATATATATATATATATATATATATATATATATATATATCTGTTGTGCATGGGTTTTTCTATATGCAGGATTATTACTTTGAATGGTGAGATAAGTCCTAACCCGGACTTGAGTGCACTTATGATAGGATTGTAATATAATCAATAGTTAAGTGTTGTGAGTAGTCCTAACATGTTTAACATATGATATAACCACACTCAGTGGAGGCCCCTTTGAGATTACTAATGTCGTACGAGTAATTGTATTGGCATTACTTTTTCCGACTAGGAGTCCTTGAATTTGAGGATCTTTATTATCCATTCACCCTTCTAAGCCTTTTTAGGACGTAGTGCAGTGATTATCTAGGTGTAGACCTTTGATGGTTGTCATGCAATACTACACTCAGACGAGTTTATCTTGAGGATATTATTAGCATCCATGACCAGTCGTGTAAGCTGACAATATCTGAAAGATTTACCGATAACTCTGGGAACCTCTTAGAACCCTTGTTATTGAGATCAAGAACCCTTAGTACACACCTTTTGGGGTGGGTAGACCATGGCTCTATGCTCGTGATCTTCAAACCTAGGCCCTTGTTTGTTTACATGTATATATGTGAATATGTGAATATTTGTATGCGTGTGTTTGTGCATACATTCATCCATACATTCCCGCATCCGTTAGTAGTCTTTTAGTTTCAAGGAATTTAATTGTTCATTCCTTTGTAAAAATAAATAGAAATCTTGGATCATGAGATGAAACTTTTTAGTTTTTCAAACATGTTTGCAACTTGCTTTTGAGTTCCTTGAAACCATTTGGCTTGCATTTGCATTGCATGAGCATGTTATTACATTTGCATTTGCATTTCTCAGCCTTGAGTCACATTCGTCCTTTGCCCATAACTCAGTTGACTTCTCGATACCAGTATTGGGTTTGAAATAGCTTTTGGAGGATCATGAACTCAGGAAAGCAGAACTAGTTTATGACAAGAGCGGATGTTGAATTGATGAAAGATTAGTTGAACCAATTTATGGAAGCTATGACAGCCTTGTCAAAGAGAGATAACCATATTCAAATGACTCCAGTCACTGGAAACGTCATTTCATCTCAAGTGTAAAATATTGTTCAAGACCAGCCTGTGCAGATTCCTGTTGAGGACCAAGTTATATAAGAACATAACATCGTCCGAGATGGACAATCCTCTTCTCTCAATGCTACAGACTATCATATTTTTTCCTTCCCTGTGATAGATTTCCAAGAGGTAGTACTTGTGATGAAAATCAAGGACCCACGAGACGTTGAGATTTT